CAAAATTTATTATTGTTTATAATGGCAATTGATACTTTGAATATTACATGTTAATAACTTGATTGGAATTATAACCTTGAGTTGACAGTTTGATACTTTGAAAATTTTGAGCCAGCCCTACCCCCAAGGGCTGTAGGGTGGGGCTCAAGGGAGTCAGTGTGCTAAAATTTCTTCATTTTCCTTGTTTAGAATCAGAGGTACTAGTTTCAAATCCTTTTTAGTCTGAAATCTGTATGCTTGATATTGAATAAGGTGGTTTTATTGTTTTTTGTCACTTTGAATAACATTTCTGTTCATGTTAAAAACGAAATCAACTCTCTGTATAAATATATCAGGTGACCTTTAAGGCCCATGGGCCTCTTGTTGTGTTTAGGTTACTTTCTCTGATATGTGCATTGATGGTCAAAGCAGGGCACAGGCCAGACATATCAATCCGAATGGATTGTCTTATATAGGTAATTTTGACCAATTGAAGGACTTCAGAAAAGTGTAATACAATCTAGTGGGTTAAGAATGCCATCATTTTTTTTTTAGTTAAACTTTCATTTAGAACACAAATTTGTTAATACTGAACTTGCCTTTTCAATGAATGACTTTCTTGTATTCCTCTCTGTATTGAATTTGCCCACCTATTATATATATATCTATATCAGTGGTCCTAGGATTTTTTGGTGCACTATTGTACCTGTATTTAACATACCGTAACCATTTTTCAGTGCAATTCATTAGCATGATGTCGGTACCCATCCCAATACGTTATTATCATGTGGGGTTGCATTTAGATGCAGTGCTAAAAAGCTATTTCAAAAAAAAAATTCAAAAAAGAAAAATGACCTTCTATTGAAGCAGTTCCAGAAAAAGACCCCAACAACACAAATATTTGCTTTTCCTGGGTCCGTCTTTAAAAATGTTAAAATTGTTTTAGAATTCATCATTATTATTTTATTGGTTCATATAATTTTAAGTTCCTTATTTATTCATATTCATACATATTATTAGCCTTTCAAGTATAAAAAACTGTTTGATCAAATTTAAATCGATAAAACTATCCAACATTTGAAATTTATTGTGCAGCAAGACAGTTTGATAAGTAGTGGCTGGAAATTCATGTGTAAAGATAACTTAACTTTGCACATGTGAAAAACATAAATTTGAATGTCACCTACATATACATACAGGACTATTGACTAGTAACACATTATTTAAAACAGTTGTCTATTGTCATTAGACTTTAATAAGCCGTTAAGTAATGTGGCATTTATTTGTTTCAGCTTCGGATGTGGCATGGAGTACCATGCTCCAACAGACTGTGCCACTATCAGGAAATGGCTCACCAAATGTGCTGACGACTCAGAAACTGCCAATTACATCAGTGCTCATACTAAAGATGTAAGTTTCACCTTGGAAATACTGGATACAGCTTTGAATTGCAGGCTTAGAAAAAAAGTGTAGGTCCATTGGAATCCATTTAAATATGAGTATCCCTCAAGGAAAATTGAAACTGAATTCAAAATTATAAATACAAGTATGTATTACCTGAAATATATATAGTATAACCCCGATATACCGCCACCTTCCATTCAGAGACATTTTGGCAGTACAACGAGTTTGGCGGTACTAGTTGTCCCTGTTAAATGACAGGTGGATGAATGCTTTGGTGCACATATCCAACACTTACCAATGAAAAATAAAATATACACGTATATATATGCAATTTTTAGTATACACACCGTTTTTGAAAGAATCATTAGTTCGGAAATATTGATTTTGATCTGGTATTACGATCAGTGTGTCACATGCAAGATATACACTCTACGAGTACCGCGGCGAGAGTGTCAGTTTTACGTGCACGTATTTATAGATTTACTTATAATCGTCAAGTAATGTCTTCATAGCCGTACCAATATTCACATTTCTCTACTGCAAATGCCATCATTTCTGTACATCACACTGTAGTCAAGTGTAAGTGTTCGACTCGGTAAAGAACTGTCTCAATATCTTGTTTCTCTACCGCACAATTCACACGGATATCGTCAATAGTCTGTCTTGTCAAGATTTTTTCACATCAAGAATGTCATCGTCCAATAATACCCGAGTGGTGGCGATACATCAATGTTATACTGTACTCCATAACCAATGTTCAAACTAGAGGATAACAACTGGTGATGCATCAAGGTTATACTGTACTCCATAACCAATGTTCAAACTAGAGGATAGGTGTTGGAATGGACCTGGCTATTTTCGTCCTTTTCCCTTTACATGTAGATGTACAATGTAAAATATCACTCATAATAGCTCTGATATTTCTCACAGTAATGTTTTTATAGAAAATCTGAAAGCCCTGAACAATTTGCCTTGTGGTGACCGTTATTAAATCTTCTATCTGTTGGTTATTACTTTTACAACATGTTGTGGTCATATATATATCAAAACAGTGATTATCCAAGAAGGCAGCGAGGTTACTCACTATTTCTAATCAACCTTTTTTCACACGAGGGCTTATTTTCAATCAAATACAGTAAATTCATGCAGATTGTTAGCTTAATATATGTACACATTTTTAAATTGGATTTGAAATGTTCATTTTGATGTTTAAAGGGATATCACGTGAAGAGCCATATTTTTTTGAATGAATGTATGTCCACTTATGTTACCTTGCTATCCCTATCTATATTCATAGTCCGTTCCAAATGTCCAGTTTGACCTTTTGAATTGTTCGGGGAAGTCCTGTTAAAAATAGCGCTGATAACATCACATGACAGTTTTTAAACGAGGCAGTAAACACAGGTGGTTTGACCGAGAGCCAAATTTCCAAAGGGGGCCGACTTGCAGCTTCTTGCTGCACTATGAAACCAAAGAATATGATTTCTAAGTCCGTGTTGAAACTTATTGAATCCCCTTAGCAGTAAGTATTCATCATCAGAAGTTAATTGCACACGTGTCAATTATCAAAATTTAAAAGAAGAAATAGTTGTTGGCATCTCGGCATTAGTTATAGACACTAGGAAATATCTATTACCGGAAAGTAACCGGTACAAATGGGTATGGGGCTAAACACCTTCCCTCAACCATGGGCCAAACCTTTCTGTATAAAATAATACTCACAAGACAAATATCCCTTTTCAAATGTTTTCATTAAGTGTATATATGAATTGACAAGTATAAAAAAGAGAGAAATGTTTGTGATTTTTTTTCATTACAACTCAATGTCTTAGGGCACTTTTTTTCCAGACCATGTATATACTATTTTACTGAACCTGGGAATATTATAAATTATGTAAATTTAATTGGGCACGTATCTCATTTGACCCCCCGGTAACGACAGAGGATAGTACAACATCACAGTACAACAGTTATCCCTTGGAGGGCCCCATAGTAAAATCAAACCAACCAGTCACTTATCCCTTCCTTTCGCATAAACTACTGTATATAGAAATGCAAAGTACGTTCTTTCCAATACAAGCCCATGAACATAACAAAATAAGTTCATCTGTGTTCCAGCTTAGACAAAGATACTAGCGAGGTTGATATTTTAAAATATTTATTCATAACATAAACAGCATTTCTGTCGATTCCATTTCAGCTTGATACCGGCTATCCGGAAGAATACATTCACCGTACTAACTGCTAGGGCAGTTATTTTCTCCTTTGAATACTTCCCACCTGCACTAGTATGCTTCCGTAACGTAATCCTTGAGCTATCTTTTGACCATTTGGCATCTTTTCGCTTCGTAGCTGATGCAGTACTCGCTAACTTCCCATGGCCAGTCATTTTGTTTAAAATGAAATAGCGTGCTATATGCGCATGCGTTACACAGGGAAATCCTTTAAACAAAACGTTATTCATTTTTATTAATATATATCAGCAAAATCTGATTGTTATTTTCCATGAGGAGACTCACTTGATATGTTTATGTAGTATTTGAAAAAAAAAACACATAAAAAAATATGCTTCACCATCACGTGATGTCCCTTTAATTTATGGCTAACTGCAAAAATTATTGCTGCAAAGAAAAAAGGTTCTCTCTGTACATATAAACATATTAATTGATGCTTTGTAATCATCATTCAGCCTCCAGTTGCTGCATTGCTAGGACATCTTTCTTTTTGTTTTGTAGTGTCCAAAATGTCATGTTTGTATTGAGAAAAATGGAGGCTGTAATCATGTGGTAAGTATTGTCACCAGAGTCACCGTCTGTCTGCGGTTAGTGTTAGATCAGGGAAACAGCTTAGCTAAAGCATTTTTTGTTAACCTAAAATGACAGTATTATCATTTTAGATTAAATAGTTTCATAGCCCCAGCGACGGCACTATCTTTATCACTATTCCTCGTCCTATTACAAATTGGTGCCGTTGACCCTCCCCGTTCAAGGTAGGAGAACCCTTGGCAGGGAGTCAAAGAACCTTGGTTGGTGTTTGAAAAAGGGGGGAATAGTGTAAAAGAAGTGCATTGATTAGGTTGCCTTACAAGTGTCAGCTGTAGGGAATTTCCCTTTAGCTCAGCGGTAGAGCATAAGGCTGGAGAGCCAAGGGTCGCAGGTTCGAGGCCCAGCGACGGCACTCTCTTCATCACTATTCCTCGTCCTATTACAAATATAATCTTTTCCCACCTGGGGGTAAGACAGAAAAAATCTCAACCCAAGGGGTAAGATTCCTAACTGTTTAGACCGAGGCTTTGCTTAATGCCAGACTTTGAAGAATGTCTTGAGGTTTGAGATTTCTCTGTCTTGCTCCTAAAAGGGTATAAGAAAGGGGTGTAAAAAAATCTATCTTACACCTCATTTCACATGATGTGACTTCACAATGGCTCAACAATGACGTGACGTCACCACTTTCGATGCCACAATGCGAAAAAGACGTAACCTTTTATGATATATTTATCATACAAGAAAGATGGTTTTTGAGCTTATTCTGGTAGTTAGAATGAGAGAAAAATACTCTATCATGCCCAAAGGTGTAAGATAGGGAAATTTCACCCTCTTTCCCAGACCAGAAGTGTGTCTAATGGGGGAGAAAACCAGGTCTGTCCCTATATACATTTTGTATTGCATACAGAAACAATAACTTGTATGGCTAACATGGTTAAACCTTTTGGAACAAGATTAATAAAAAATTCCGAGGTTTTGTTTTAGAAATTATTTAATTATTAACTTGTTTAATTAATATGATTCACGTTTGCAATGTATATCACTCATATCATTGCATGCTGATCAAACAAAGGGAGATAACATATATAAGCTGTAAGCTTGCTGTCAAATCCCTTTTTCACTGTGTTTTATTGTATGATTATTGCTGTTATTACTGAATAAAAATGTTGTTTAAACTAATTTGAAAATTCATATGTTAAAATTTAGCTTTGCTATTTTACTTAACAATATTTCGCTTTCTTGTGTTGAGTGACTCAAAAGTCATGAACAAACAGTGATGTGTATTAATACTTTAAATACCTTACATTTGTGTTTGATTTTCACAGCAATGTACAAAATGCAAGAATGACTTCTGCTGGATGTGTTTAGGAGGTGGGTAATGAATTTCGTTATCAAAATTTAAAATTTCATTGTTGATAAATGACAATACATGAATACCATTTATAGGTCACCTGACATTTGCTTAAAAATAGAGTAGACGACTGACTTGTACATTATGGTAATTTCCTTGAGTATTGAACGTTCATGTTTATGGGTAATTTGTTGCTAACTAATCTGCATCTGATTTGACAATGATTTGATGATGTCCCTATCAGACTGGAGGACCCATGGAAGCGAGTATTACGAGTGTAGTCGGTACAAGGAGAATCCAAACATTGCCAATGAGTCAGTCCATGCTCAAGCCAGGGAGGCCTTAAAGAAGTACCTCTTCTACTTTGAACGGGTAAACATTTTTTTTGTTCATTTAAAAATGATGTCAACTTTACCAATATTTTTCCTGTCTTTTGTTTAACTTTTATTTTATTTAGAAACACCTATTAAACCTACAACACAGGTTCTTGTTGATGCTTATATTAAACCTAAAACACAGGTTCTTGTTGATGCTTATATTAAACCTAAAACACAGGTTCTTGTTGATGCTT